TTTTGGTTTCAATTTTGTTTAGTTCTTTTATATTTTTAATTATTTCTTTCCTTCTAATTTTTTATCTAGTTTCTTGTTTTTAGAGGTCCTTGCGATGCATTTATAGCTCATTTATTTGGTGCCTTTCCAATTTTTTGATATAGGCACTAATTGCTATAAACTTTCCTCTTAACACTGCTTTTGCTATATCCCATAAATTTTGATATGCTTTATTTTCATCTTCGTTTTAACAGTTTTTGTGTTAAAGTTTACTGTGTCTGATACTAGAATGGCTACACCTGCTTGCTTCTTCTTTCCATTAGTGTGGGATATCTTTTTCCATCCTTTCAGTCTACATGTATCTTTGCATGTGAAGTGTGTTTCTTGTAAGCAGCAAATAGATGGGTCTTGTTTACTAATCCATTCAGCCAGTCTGTATCTCTTAATTGGAAATTTTAGGCCATTTTCATTCAAATTAGCTATTAATAAGTAATGACTTGGCCTTGCCATTTTTACATAAGTACAGGTATTGTTTGCTTTGGATTTAATTTATACTTTTACTGTGAGACTTTCTTTCACATTCTTTCATAATGATCCCTACCATTCTGTGTTTCTGTGTATAGCACATCCGTAAGCATCTTTTTTAAGGTTGGACAAATGGTGACAAATTCTTTCAATTTTTGTTTGCTATGGAAGGTCTTTATTTTACCTTCACTCATAAATAAGAGCTTTGCATGGTGCAGTATTCTGGGTTGACAGTTTTTTTTTTTTTTTCTCTTAAGACTTAGACCATGACTCTCTATTTTCTCCTAGCCAGTAGAATTTCTGAAGAGAAGTCAGCTGTGAGTCTAGTTGAATATTCTGTGAGAGTAATCTGGCATTTCTTGTATGCACATTTTAGAATCTTTTCTTTATATTTACTGTGGAGAGTTTGACTAAAATGTGTGATGGTGAAGATATTTTCTGGTCATGTCTATTAGAAGTTCTATGTGCTTTCTGTACTTGGATGTCCCTTTCTTCCTCCAAATTGGGGAAAAGTTCAGTAATTATTTCACTAAATAGGTCTTCTAATCCATGCTTTCATTCAACACCTTCAGGAACTCCTAAGACCTGTATGTTGGGATAGTTAATAGTATCCCATAAATTTCCAATACTGTTTTTAATTTTTCAAATTTCTTCTTTTTGGTCTGAAAAATTTCCAAATATTTGTCTTCTAGTCTTCTTTCTTTGGCCTTACCAAGTCTGTTGTTAATGATTTCTACCACACATTCTTTATTTGACCTATTGAATTCTTCATTTCTAATATTTCATTTTGATTTATCTTCAAATCTTAGTTTCATTGGAAATTCATTCATTTCATGTAGAAATTTATTTAATTCATGGGTTTGCATCTCATTGCTTCTGAGTAATACCATGTTTAATCTTTTGAATTCCATTTCAGTCATTTCACCAATCTCTTCATCTTCAAGTTCTAATTTTGAAGTGTTTTGTATTCCTTTGGTGAGGGAAGGGTCATGTTATCTTTCTCATTCTTTTTTCTTGAATTTCAGTATTGATTTTTAAGCATTTTTGGAGATACTTGTTGGCTTTTGTGTGTGTGTGTGTGTGTGTGTGATGAATTTTATCTTTGGACTATGCCTTTGCAGATTGTAGAATGTCTTTTCTTTAAGTGAATACCCAGATAATCTGGTCTATGCTTTAGGGTGGGGCAAGTATCCATGGTAACACCCAAGTTGGACATGGTAGATATTGTTCTTGTTAACAGAAGCTGGGGTTGTGGTAAACCCTGTTGGTGTAATCACACTCTCACCTCCTCTCTTCCATGGTGATCAATGTCTGGATGTTAGCCTTCAGTTGGTACAATACTCTTCCATACCTCCACAAGAACTGTGCAAAGTATTTGTGCATTCCTCAGTGTGAACACGGGTCCTGTTGCAATGACACACTCCAGGCAATGAGCGAGCTCTGAGCATGTGGAGCTGCACAGTGATTCCCCGGCTATGCCCTGCACCCCGTCATGCAGTCACAAAGTTCCCACAGTCTCAGCAAACAGGTACTCACAGTCACAGGGTGCAGAGGATTCATTCAACACCCCCTAGCCTGTCCCATCCACAGGTACAAGAGTTTTGTAGCCAACACTAATGTCAGAATGGCTCCTTCTCTCCCCACCCCCGGTTGCCAGGTGCATGCACCTGAGCAGCTGCAGTTGCCTCTGCTGACAAGATGGCATCCATCCCCACGAGTTATTGGGTACACGTGCAAGAGGGGCCTCAGCTGCAACCTTCTTAAGTTCAAAACAGTCTCTCTGCAGTTGCTGGACATCATTGTCAAAAGCATAGGAGAGCAAAACATGCTCTCTGGGTCATCAGGCACACTGCTCCTCTCAGGCTCTGGGCCAGACTCAGACAATGCAGTCTGCTAGGCTCTCCCTGTGACAATATCACCAGTGGCAGGGGCTGCTGCAGTCTGATCTCACTTTGCTTTCCAAAGCTGGTGCTTTCTTTGGCTCAGGGCAGCTGGAGTTGTGTCCATGCTCTTTGCTGTGCATCTGCACCTTTCAAATAGATCCAAGGCATCTCTCTTCTTTCCAAAGAATCTGCAATGCAGTTTTCCTTCCAACCCACACCTGAGAATGCACTTTCCCCATTTTTTTAAAACTATTTTCTCCCAACCTAGGGTAGTCCACCCTGTCCCTTTTCTAACATCTTGGAATCTCCAACTGTATATTTTCAAATGGCACATTTTAAGTCACTAATTCTTTCTAATGCTTGATCAGATCATCTGCTGAACACCTATAGTGAATGCTGTGATTCAGTTATTGTATTCTTAAGCATCAAGATATCTATTGGGATTTCTTTTTGTTTGTGATGTGATTGATAGGTCTCTATCTGTGGAGTCAAATACTGGAGACTTGTTTTGTTCCTTAAATGTGTGTCATATTTCTCTGATTCCACATGTTTGTATTTTGTGTTGGTATCTAAGTATTTGAGGAAAAGCAGGTTTAAACAGCCTTTGTGAACTGGCTTTGACCTAGAAAGGTCTTCACTAAATAAGCATGTATAAAATTCTGCAGTCTCTCAAACACCCACCAGCACCTTTCTCTTTGTTCATATTTGCCCTGGGTGTCCAAGTCGTATCAGTACTGTTATCATTCTATGTAAAGCATTCTGCTGAAAGACAGGGATGTTGGAGATATGCTCCATGCCTCTTCCTTTCTTGATATATTAATAGAAGTAAATTAATTGAAACCTAGAGAGGATAATTTTAAAAATTGCAGATCAAGAAACCGATGATTGGCATGGTTAGGTTTTAATATCAAAGCCCATATTTCTTCCTCAATGACCCAATGTTTTTTAACTTTAGTTTGCTGTTCAATAAACCAATATCAAAGTACTAATTATACCTCTTGCTAAATAACTAACACACTTCTGACTCATCAAGACTTTGTTAAAACTTTCCACTGTATTGTTTGACTTATTAAATGCTTAATTTCTTATTTTTCTGTTTGGTTCTTTTTTAGTATCTGTATCTCTGTACAGAATTTCTCATCCATGTCTTTTACTAATTTCCTATCTTCATTTAACTGTTCCAATTTTTAAGTAATCTTGCAATCATTCTTTTGAATTATTTTTCAGGCATTTCAGTTGAATATTAATGCAATACTGTATTCCTTCTGAGGAGTCATACTGCCTTCCTCATTCATATTTATTGTATTTCTATGTTGATTTTTCACATCTTGGGGATCTCTTATTTCTATCAATTTTGGAGGATTTAAATAAAAACTTTATTCCAGGAGATTTGCTGCTGGGGTTTGTTGGATTGTCTAAGTCTTACACCTGAGTTCCTGGTTTGTATTCTTGGTAAAAGGAGTGCAGAGAGATGGATGTGGTATAGCCACGTGGTTACAGCCAGTGGGGAATGGGGATGTTGGAACCAACTGGTATGTTTGAAGTCACAGCATTTCTCTGCTAAGGTGAACTAGATAATTAACAGCTTAGAGTGACTCATGGGGCCAGGATGCTTCTTCAAATCTCCCTGATGGGCAAAATACCATCCAGTGCACCAACTCACTCTGCAGTATGTCCCCTGACTTCACTCCACTATCCATCCCCCGTGTGCAAGGGGCTCTGAGTCTCCACATTCAGACTGTGAAGATGCACAGGAACTTAGTTGCAACCTGCAGTTTTCTTAGCTGTCTAGAATATCTAGTCACAGGGTACAACGGGTCTGTTCTCCACTGTGTAAGTTGCCCAGTCTCTCACTCTGGTGTACTGTGGTAGCAGTAGGACTGCTTGTTGTCCCCTGAGTCATTAACAGAGTTTAGCAGCAACTCTACTTCAGTGGGATGTGGGCAGGGGGCAATTTGGCCTCTCTTTAAGGTGCAAAGTAATCACTCAGGCTCCTGTCAGCTCCCTGGGCTGGACCTTTAGTCAATGGGGCTATTGAATAATCACTCAAGATAAAGTTGCCAATGTGGGAGCCACAGCAACTTCTTCCTACCTTATATTGACAAGATGGTATCACCCAACTGGGAACCAGTTGTGTAGATACTGGAGCGGTCTGTGCAGCAAGCAGTAGTGCATTTGTTCTGTCTCCTTACCACTCCATGGAATCTCCATCTGTGTTAGCAGTTCTTCACTAAAAATTTCTCTCCATCAGTTTCTTGGGAACGTGGTCCTACCTTTGTTTTTCTGGTATCAATCTGTGGCTGAGGTCAGTGCAGCTTCTCACTATTCAGCCATCTTTACTCTACATATAGTCATACAATAACACAGCTTGACAGCTCAAGATAATTGATCAATTATTATACATAATGAATATATTATTTATATGCAACTTACCTTATATATGAAGATTCATGTGCCTACACGTGGGTAATTCTTTAAAGCAGGTTTTATTTATAGTTACTCTGTATATAATAAAATGTATTTCATTTATATATTTTAACCTATCTTAATGATAAGAAGAAAAATCTAGCTAATATTTCTGATTTTAACTAGATTTATTTTTCATTTATTTACCTTGGAGGTCAAGACATTTTTATGACAGAAGAACAGAAGAAATACTATAATGCAATGAAAAAGCTTGGGTCCAAGAAACCACAAAAGCCAATTCCTCGACCAGGGGTAAAAAAAAATTTACATATATATATATATATATATATGTCATGCCAATTTTTAAAATTATATTTAATTCATAATTTATCTTAAATGAAACTATATATATAATGAGAAAATTTTACTCCACTTTTCATGTTATTCTTTTGTCTTTGCAGAACAAATTCCAAGGATGTATATTTGACCTAGTAACAAACCAAGCTTTTGATATCACCATTATGATTCTTATCTGCCTCAACATGGTAACCATGATGGTAGAAAAAGAAGGACAAAGTGACTATATGACTGATGTTTTATATTGGATAAATGTGGTTTTTATTATCCTTTTCACTGGAGAATGTGTGCTGAAACTGATCTCCCTCAGACATTACTACTTCACTATAGGATGGAACATTTTTGATTTTGTGGTTGTGATTCTTTCCATTGTAGGTAAGGGCACTTATCAATAAGATTTTAATTTGAGTAAAACTAAACTCCTCATATGCTCTGACAAATTTATGAAGTCTTAAATCTAAATCTACCTTAGAATAAAGTAGTATTATGAAAGAATGAAGGAAACTTACAAACAAAACAAAATGAAAACCTCTGTGTCAGAACTGTTGGGTTCATACTACAGGCCTGAAAACTAAATGTTTTTGACTGTTGAAAGGACATAATACTCACTGATATTTAGTTTCCATGATTGACCTTCAGAAATCTAGGTAACATTTTTATATGTGGAGATATCTTGAAAACCAATGCAGAATTGATATTACTTCTAATTTTACCATGAGATTAATGATGTTAATAATATCCATTGCCAGAGTATGTGTGACTCTTTGTGAAAATTCTTGAATTTAAAATACAGTTAAGAAATGCTAGCTTCATTTCTTAACTTGTAGTGCTTTGCAAGTCTACAAAATGCAATAATTTCTCAACTAACCACAGTGATGATGTGAATCATCATACATGGTTTTATATTTGATCCCTTTTCATTATCATAGCTATTCTTATATTTGAAGATTACATTTATTTTGAGTATTAAAAATTTTTTTATTTTTTATTTTTTTTATTTTTATTTTTTGACAGAGTGGACAGTGAGAGAGAGAGAGACAGAGAGAAAGGTCTTCCTTTGCCATTGGTTCACCCTCCAATGGCCGCCGCGGCTGGCGCACTGCGGATGGCGCACCGCACTGATCCAATGGCAGGAGCCAGGTACTTATCCTGGTCTCCCATGGGGTGCTGGGCCCAAGGACTTGGGCCATCCTCCACTGCACTCCCTGGCCACAGCAGAAAGCTGGCCTGGAAGAGGGGCAACCTGGACAGAATCCAGCGCCCTGACCGGGACTAGAACCTGGTGTGCCGGCGCCACTAGGTGGAGGATTAGCCTATTGAGCCATGGCCCCAGCCTGAGTATTACAAATTTTAAATGCAGAGGGATCATGGAGATCATTTAATACAAATGAAACTTACAAATGATCAGAGTCCCAGAAGAGCTCAGTTACATAACCTAGAATCATAATATTAACACATAACTTAGAATAGCATTTAAATATCACTTTCAAATAAAATTTCCACTGGAAGTGAAAGAAAAATTAGTTTATAAGAAAACAAATTAGAATTTAGATAAGAATTGCACACTAACAACAGTGATTCCAAGAGCATTATTATTAAGTCAAGAAGAAGAGTATTCTTCTATCACCTCTATTAGGTGAGTGTATTGAAACAATGGAAGAAATGATCTTTATCTGCATCGTGTTATGACATTCTCTTAAGGTGAGTCAGCTAAAATTGGTTTGAGTTCAGGAGGGTCAAATTTTAAATTATATGTATTACCATTAATTATTGATATGTGGACAAAATGTATAAAATACATTTGAAGCAAAATCTCATTCAAAATTATAATAAGAATAAAGGAAAATATCTAGTTATAAAGCTAAAATCCTCTATAAAGATAAATGAAGGGGCCAGTGCTGTGGATCAGTGGGTTAACGCCCTGGCCTGAATTGCCAGCATCCCATATAGGCACCGGTTCTTGTCCCGGCTGCTCTTCTTCTGATCCAGCTCTCTGCTATGGCCTGGGAAAGCAGTTTAAGATGACCCAAGTCTTTGGGCCCCTGCACCCACATGGGAGACCTGGAAGAAGCTCCTGCCTCCTGGCTTCGGATTGGCGCAGCTCCGGCCATTGCAGCCATCTGGGGAGTGAACCAGTGGAAGGAAGACCTTTCTCTCTGTCTCTACCTCTCTCTCTAACTGTCTTTCAAATAAATACAGTAAATCTTAAAAAAAATAAAGAACATAGATGCTCAATTCTTTCTAAAAATAAATAAATCACAATTATAACTGTCAAATATTTTCTGGTGAAAATTATAAAGGGTAAGGGCGGTGCCCAAGTACTGATAAGCAGTAGGCATGTTGGGTATGAGCATTTTCATGTGCCATTAGTAGGACTGTCAATTGGTACAAAGTTTCTAGAGATAGAGTTGAAAATACATGGTAGATTTTAAATACAGTATATGACCCAATTTCTATTAATCTATTATCAAAAACATATATCATTATGAAAAATAACCTAATTAGATATTTGTTTCAGTGAAAAAATTAAAAATAGTGTTTTTTCAGTTTATGGTCATTTGACAAAATATTATACAAGTCTAAGAAATGATTTTGTTTTCATTTATATGGAAATATCTCCATGACATGTGAGTAAAGCAAGTTACAAAGAAAATCTCTATAATGTGATTATGTGTGTGACTGTATGTGTACTCATATGACCATGTTTTTGCATAGAACAATGTCTGGAGTGATTTCAACAAAATATTGAAGTTATGGTTGAAGATATTTCCAGTAATTTTATATTTCCATTTAGTATATTACTGTATTGCTTGAGTTTTCTAAATGATTAGTTATTATAACTTCAGAATTTATTGTAGAGGATGAAAAGTGGTTCATGAATGTATCAAAGTGTGGTTGTGAGGAAGAATGCCACTATACTAATTCTAATCATTTTCCTTTGGAGTTTTTTGATGCATTGATTAAAAAACAGGCTTCAATATGAAATAACAGTCCTGAATTCATAAGTAATAAGATGGCAGACAAAAATGTTTATAATCATGATCGTCTGTGGCATGAATATATAAACATTTCTTTTTTGTTCCTCCCTACCATACATAGGCATGTTCTTGGCTGAGTTGATAGAAACATATTTTGTGTCCCCTACTCTGTTCCGTGTGATCCGCCTCGCCAGGATTGGCCGAATCCTTCGTCTGATCAAAGGAGCAAAGGGGATCCGCACATTGCTCTTTGCTTTGATGATGTCCCTTCCTGCATTGTTTAACATTGGCCTCCTGCTCTTCCTGGTCATGTTCATCTATGCCATTTTTGGGATGTCCAACTTTGCCTATGTTAAAAAGGAAGCTGGAATTAATGACATGTTCAACTTTGAGACCTTTGGCAACAGCATGATCTGCCTGTTCCAGATTACCACCTCTGCTGGGTGGGACGGATTGCTAGCACCTATTCTCAATAGTGCACCTCCTGACTGTGACCCCAAAAAAGTTCATCCTGGAAGCTCCACTGAAGGAGACTGCGGTAGCCCATCTGTTGGGATTTTCTATTTTGTCAGTTACATCATCATATCCTTCCTGGTGGTAGTGAACATGTACATCGCTGTCATCCTGGAGAACTTCAGTGTTGCTACTGAGGAAAGTACTGAGCCCCTGAGTGAGGATGACTTTGAGATGTTTTATGAAGTTTGGGAGAAGTTTGATCCTGATGCAACTCAGTTTATAGAATATAGCAAACTCTCTGATTTTGCAGCTGCCCTGGATCCTCCTCTTCTCATAGCAAAACCAAATAAAGTACAGCTCATTGCTATGGATCTGCCAATGGTCAGTGGTGACCGCATCCATTGTCTTGACATCTTATTTGCTTTCACAAAGCGTGTTTTGGGTGAAAGTGGAGAGATGGATTCTCTTCGTTCACAAATGGAGGAAAGATTCATGTCTGCAAATCCTTCAAAAGTGTCCTATGAACCAATCACAACTACACTAAAACGAAAACAAGAGGATGTGTCTGCCACTGTCATTCAGCGTGCTTACAGACGTTATCGCTTACGGCAAAATGTCAAAAATATATCAAGTATATACATAAAAGAAGGAGACAAGGATGATGATTTGCCCAATAAAGGAGATATAGTTTTTGATAATGTTAATAGCTCAAGTCCAGAAAAAACAGATGCAACTGCTTCCACCATCTCTCCACCTTCATATGATAGTGTAACAAAACCAGACAAAGAGAAATACGAAAAAGACAAAACAGAGAAGGAAGACAAAGGAAAAGATGGCAAGGAAACCAAAAAATAGAGTTTCATTTTTGAATACTGTTTACAGCCTATGAAGGTGATTTATTTGTGTTAATAGGACTTTTAAGAAGGTTTATGCCAAAACTCTTTTTATCAAGATATTTGCAAAAGCAGTGCAGTCACTAGCTCTGATTCCCTTAGATAGAAGGGCAGCATTAGCATATTGCTATTTTTGCACTGGTAAATGATTCTGTAAGAAGACTAAGAATAACTCTGTTATGATTGATTACAGCATATGAAGGTAATGATTTTTTAAAAAATAAATTAGAATACCATGCAGAAAATTCTCACATCTGCCTTGTACTCTTTTCACTGATTGTCATTATTCATGTTTCCCATGTAAATACAAAAGTCACAAGACATGTGCACTAACACACAAATAGGAAAATATTATTTCAAAATCAATAAAAGTATTTTGCCTTAGCTTTAGAAATAAATTACCTGATAGACGAAAAGAACATTGATAATGAATGTTTAGTTGAAGAAAATTAATAGGATATTAGACTCCTTTATCCATGTAGACAGGCCATTCTATATTTCAGGTGCTTAAATTCATTCTACATTGCATCAGAACCAATTTTCATGTGCCTATAAAATGCCATGAGGTGAACAACATACGTAGGCTATTCACTTCTAATGATACTTTTCATTCATCTTTACTCAAATACATCTTAACTCACAGACTTATCTTTTTAGTGTTGTGCTCCATACCTTATCATGTTTATATCCCACTCTGTTCATGTGACAACCATAGAACTTGAAAACTCAGTAATTCTTAATAATTGAAGTTAAAAACCAATGGACAGAAGTTGTATCTACTATTATTTATATAATGTAACATTGGACAAATAATGGCCCAACTCTATCTCTTGACACATCTATTTCTTTTTCATGCAGTTTTGTTTAGTCATTCTTTAGCTCTAAGAAAAACTGATACTGATCTTCAGTGAAATGCTTCCTGATAATCACTTAGTAATTTGAGACCATTGACCATGTTTGAACAGATAATTACTTGGGCACTGTGTTCATCTTAAACATGTTTGATAAATTTCCAAATCCTAATACATGGCAGGCTTCAACATCAGTTTTCCAGCTATTCAGTATGAATGAAAGAGAATTCAAATGGTGATTCTTCTCAACTTGCTTGCACCTAAACTTTCCTAAATTGTAAGAGTAATTCCTTGGGAAATCTATTCATCTATTAAAAAAAAAGGAAAAAATGACTTTCTTCTTAATATTCTATTATATAATGTATATTTTGCATCCATTAATGAAATAGCTCAGGCTTATAAATTACCAAACATATATTCACTTTGATCTAGAAGTTGTTATCATAATAAGGATTGGAAAACATTTTTTTAAAAATATCCTTCTTAGCAATAATTTAAAAATAAATGGTCATGATGAATTTTTTCACATTTTCTCTAAAAAGTATGTTTCTTTCTCCTATCAAACTTATGCAGTGACAAAAATTCAGCTATCTTTATAGCAAATAATTTTATTTAGAAAATTTTAAGGGTATTTTTGAACCAAAATTATAAGAAAATTCATTAATTGGCTGTTAAAACCTAAAAATATAAATTCTATAATAAGCATGCAAAACATTTTCTATCCAGTTTTTAAAAAAGGGTGATTTAAGCATACTTAAAGAGATATGAGTAGAGAATGATACATGGAGGAAGATTAAAAGTTAAAACAAGGAACAAAGAAAATACATAGACACTTCCACAGAACTTTACACTTAGAATGTTTTTTCAGTTGTGATGTAGGAGAGGACTTCAAAAAGTTTATAGAAAATGGAACTTGATAATGCATATTTTCCATGAACTTTCTGAGTAGCCTCATATTTTAGAATATTGATAAAGGAGATTATCACTTCTAGACTTTTTTCCTAAGGTATATGAAATAAAATGTAGGGTCATACTTTATGTTTAATTATTCATCTTAGCCTATTTGAACTAATTTTTATGAAGGATAACAAGTAGTGTTTTCCAAGATTATATGGGGCATTGCATCAGATACCTGCTACACCTTGAGAACAGATTTTGGCAGTTTATTTATGGAACCATCTGAAGTATATTACATTTGGAAGATATTTAAACACATTCAATGAAGAAGTTAACATCACCTGAAATTTGAATTCCATCCATTCTCATTGTTTTGAGCCCATATAAATATAGCTACATTATGAATATTTTTATAATACAGCATAAAAAGACCTCGGATGGGCAGTTTTATTTGTGATTTATTAATAATGCTTTCACATTGACCAATTTTTATGTAAAATAAAATTTGCAAGTGGTTTGTCAACAAAAGTTTTATTTGTATTTCAAAAATATTGCAAAGTTGTTCTTCCTCCATTTCATGCTTAACTATACTTTTTAAATATAGCTAGTTTATTTATATATCTTATGTTATATATATAACAACTAGGTTGTATATATACAAAAATATATTTGTATCTCATATAACCCAGAAATGACATTTTATCAAATAAAAAAAATGTTTGGAACTAAGAGGTCATTAAGTACAGTATAAATTTGAAGTAAAATTAGACTTTTCTTTTCATATAGGTTACTTTTTGTACTAATTATGAAATACTACCCTTCCAAAGGCACTGTCATCCTAATATTTATCACATAATCACTAAATTTATTTCACCTAATGATATAGAATGACAGATTCACTGAAAATTTTACATTAGAATAAAATGGAAGGAAACAAATACAAATGGATAAAAATTAGAGAAATTCATTTAATGTCTTTTAATTTGCAAAAAAAATTGACTTGTGGCATATTTCTAAACACTAATTGTTGAAAATATCAATCTAAAGTGTTTAGCATGATTTTCTAGAATTTTGATAGTTTTGTGTAAAAAAAGGAGGAAATGTATATGTAAATCATGCAGTTCTGAATAACAATTTCAGAGAAATGTAATGGAAACAATGAAAGGAAGGCCAGCTAAATTAGGATGGCCAAGTAATTGGCCTGGGTTTAGAACCTATGGGTAGAGGCCACCCATTTTTTTAATATCTGTGGTTTATTATGCAATTATATTCTTGAGGAAAATAGTCAAGAATTGCTTCATGAAAATAAATTAATAGCCATGAGTATAATAATGCTGTTTACACAAAATTCTTTACACATTTCATAGATCTATGAATGCTCAAAATGTTTGTCATAATTTGTCATAATTATATGGTAATTATACCTGAGACTTGCACATTGTAATAGAATCTAAAAATAAAAGTCCTTAAAAAAACATGTTTGCATGTATTTTCTGTTTCGGTGAAAATCACCTTTATAAGGGTAGATTCAGTACATCTCTAATTGCAACTAATGCCTCCCCCCAAAAAGCATTCTTGGATGACAAAGATAACAAACATCCAGCTCCAAAGCAACTCATTGAAATCTCAAACAGGATATGTACAGGTGAAGAAAATTGAGATAGGAGTGAAAACACACAAATAGTTTGCTACTCATTGGTGAATTCTTCTTTGGGTAATAGCAATGAGAAATATGCATTCATAATGGCCAAGAGCTGGGGTTCTGAAATCAGAACTATGTTTGTTTCCCAATTAAGCCTTTACCTCTAAATTTCTTAGATATATTATGTATCCTCTATAACCCTCAGCTTTATCCTTCGTAAAATGACGAAGAGTACTACTTCCTGGTATGGCTGTAAATTCAGAATAAGATAGGCCACATGAATCAATTAGAACAATTCCTGACAACACAGCACTGAGGATTTGTATTAGTAATGGTAGCAGTGTGACAACCAAATTGCTACTACATGCTATGTTAACCTAGGCTAACTTTTTGTTGTACAGGATCACAATGCATTCCACATAAATGTTAAATAATGACACAATTCACTCTGTTTCATATAATAAGAGTAAGTATAGTACATAGAGAAGTCTTATGCATCTTATTAGTAGGCAGTGATCAAATGTTTCCAAACTCAGTTATTTTTGAGATTTGTGAATACAAACAATATGTTAAAATGAGAAATAGTGCACATTTTAAGAGATTTACCTTATTGCAAGAAAAAAAATGGAGGTAAACGTTTTCATATTTAGTTAAATAGTTTTTTTTTTAACTTTTATTTAATGAATATAAGTTTCCAAAGTACGAATAATGGATTACTATGGCTTCCCCCCCATACCGTCCCTCCCACCCACAACCCTCCCCTTTCCCACTCCCTCTCCCCTTCCATTCACATCAAGATTCATTTTCGATTATCTTAATATACAGAAGATCAGCTTAGTATACCTTAAGTAAGGATTTCAACAGTTTGCTCCCACACAGAAACATAAAGTGAAAAATAATAGATGATTTTTTTTAAATGATGATGAAATCAGATCAGACCTATTGTCATGTTTAATCCCAGTGAGAGTCAAGTTGGGAGTTGATAGTTTCTTTTCTTTTCTTTTCCTTTTTTTTTTTTTTTTTTTTTTTTTTTTTTTTTTACAGAGGATCAGTTTAGTATGCATTAAGTAAAGATTTCAACAGTTTGCACCCCCATAGAAACACAAAGTGAAATATATTGTTTGAGTACTCGTTATAGCATTAAATCTCAATGCACAGCACATTAAGGACAGAGATCCTACATGAGGAGTAAGTGCACAGTGACTCCTGTTGTTGACTTTACCAATTGACACTCCTGTCTATGGCATCAGCAATCCCCCTATGCTCCAGTCATGAGTTTCCAAGGCTATGAAAGCCCTCTGAGTTCTCCGATTCTTATCTTGTTTAGACAAGGTCATAGTCAAAGTGGAGGTTCTCTCCTCCCTTCAGAGAAAGGTACCTCCTTCTTTGAAGACCTGTTTTTTCCACTGAGATCTCACTCACAGAGATCTTTTGCCAGAGTGTCTTGGCTTTCCATGCCTGAAATACTCTCATGGGCTTTTCAGCCAGATCGGAATGCCTTTAGGGCTGATTCTGAGGCCAGAGTGCTATTTAGGACATCTGCCATTCTATGAGTCTGCTGAGTATCTCACTTCCCATGTAACACAAACCTGTATTTCATTTTAGCTCTGAGCATCTAGTCCTGTTGATGATGTTTTAGTAAGGCACACTGAAAATAATTACTGCTCTGTCAGACCATTCGTTCATCTTGTATGTTATTCTAGCAGCATGTAAAAAAGATATAAATTATTCCTAAGGCCCTTTATACTGATATTTATTATAACCAGTCTGCAAAATAAAATCATGTTCAATCCAACATAACTGATTCACATGCGCATGAATTTCTTAGAGCCAAAAATTAATTTTTTAGGTTAATTTGATGCTCAGCATAATATTAAAGCAAGATGAGCTGCAGGAACAAGTATTATCTCAAGGGAGGGAGAAACTGCATACCAGCCAGAGCAGTGGGGACCTTTGCTGCAACAGCATTTGATGCAAACAGGAAAGGAAATATGAATAATTGATAGTTATAAACAAGCAACAGAGGAAACATTACTCCCAGCTCTCTTCTCTACCACTCTGAGAGCTACATCTACATTAATATTTAATATCTCTCAGCAAAAGTTAATTTTAAGAGACTTATGAGTCACCTATAGTGTTTGGGTCATGTGTTTTAACTGGGATTGCATTAAATACATTTCAATGAACACTTTAACAAATTACATAATGGACAATAAGTATATAGGAAAGATTCAAGGTTTGTTAATACTTTTGAAAACCTGGTAAAACAGCAAAACTTATTCCAATCTTTGCTTTTGTTTTAGTTTGTATAAATCAAAATATCTTCAAGTTTATTCAGTTATATTCTTTTCATGTAAATATAATTCTCTAAAATGCTATCACTATTCGTTTATATTTTCAGTGATACAAGAAATTTAAAATTTGTGGAAAATATGTAAATATCTAGATAATATTAAGAACCTTTACTCATTAAGTTGTATTTACAAATAATTTGAAACTTAACTTGGATTTCCCTATGGTGACAAAAAAATAACTTATTTGTGGCTGGCCCTTCAGGTGTTGAAAAATCTCAAGATTCATGCTTGTGTTTTTTTACATTCCTTTCCTTCACTATTCTGCTTAGTGAAAATACTTTGTGCCTTTTTTCTGCTCTTAGAATACTCTTGAGAAGTGAAAATTCTTATATGGGAAAGAACTACATCTTGCTCATGTAAGGAGAGATTGTAAAACCAATTGTGAACAGGAATTCCATCTAAAGGAACTGAAAAGGGGTGGGGGTGGGTGTCTCCACACAGAAGATGCAGATAACTATACCCAGGCTCTTATCTCATAAGAATGGATGTTTGTATTGCTTCCAACTGTTGAACTTTTGACAACTTGCTACAAAAGACAAGAACATGAAAACTTTCATACGCCATAGCACCATGCTCAGGCATGGATACAGAACAAACAGCTGCTAGAAAAAAGGTTATTTTATCAAATCCCAGTGTGCAATACTGACTGTGGAAGCACAAAGATAGGGATGCCAGAGATGGTTAGTGTACCTTACTGATGTGTAAGACCAATCTTAGTCTTTCAGAAATTCAGTGGGGATAGTTTATTCTCTATTCATGGTCACCATTCATTGCATTCAATTAATTGTTGGTAACAAAGCAAGAAATTTATAATCAGAAACCAAAGAAAATGAGTAACCATAAGTGATATTTTCTTTAGGACATAAGAATTTGAACTATACTTGACCTACTCATGCCCTTAAAATACAGGACAGGGGAGCCAGTACTGTGGCAGAGTAGGCCAAGCCTCCGCTTGTGACGCCGGCATCCCATATGGGCACAGGTTTGTGTCCCAGCTGCTCCTCTTCTGATCTAGCTCTCTGCTCATGGCCTGGGAATGCAATTGGGCCCCTGCACCCACGTGGGAGACCCAGAAGAAGCTCCTAGCTTCGGATCCACCTGGATCCAGCTGTTGTGTTCATCCGTGGAGTTATCCAGAGGATTGAAAACCTGTCCTCCTATCTTTCCCTCTCTCTGTCTTTAACTCTGCCTCTCAAATAAATACATAAAATATTTTTTAAAAATATTGGTCAAAGGGATCTACATCAGATGTGTTTTAAAATGTCTTATGTGGAACATAGGAAAGTCTCCCTGTCACACACAATTAAAGAAGAATATATACTATATTTCACTCCGGGTAACTCATGTTAGTGTATTAGAGACTGGCAGGAGGCCTGAGACTGATACTCATGGCAATAACAATAACCATCATGTTATCATTTTTCTGATGCTTCCATAGTCCAATCACAATGCCACATCAAAATACCATATACTGGGTGGCTTGAACAAAAGGAATATATTTCTAACAGTTATAGACTATGGAATATCCAAGATTTATGTTCCAGCAAATTACATTCCTGGGTAAAATTTCTTTCCTGAATTTTCCTATTTGCATAGGAAATTTATGCACAAGAGAGGCCTTCAAATAGTGTACAAAAATGTACATTATGAAAAACTATGCATATATTTCATTTTTTCTATGGCTTAGTAGTATTCCATAGCATATACATACCATAATTTGTTTGTCTACTCATCCATATATGTACATCTGGCTTGATTCCATATCTTAGCTATTGTGCACTGAGCTACAAAAACATGCAGGTGCTATTAACTCTTTTATATGCCAATTACATTTCCCTTGGGTAAATTCCAAAGAGTGGAATTGCCGAGTTATAGGTCTATCTATATTCAGCTTTCTAAGGTATCTCCATACTGTCTTACACAAAAGCTGCACTAGTTCATATTCCCACAAACAGTGGGTTAGGGTATCTTTTTCCTCCACATTCTCACCATCATTTATTTTTTATTGATTTCCATATGAGAGCCATTCTAACTTAGGTGAGGTGAAACTTCACTGTGTTTTTTTATTATTTAATAAATGTTAATTTACAAAGTGCAACTTTTGTATTGTTGTGGCTCCCACCCCAACCTCCCTCCCTCCCGTGGCCCTCCTCTCTCCCACTCCCTCGCCCATCCTGCCCTTCATCACTTTTCAATTACCTTCATATACAGAAGATCAACTTAGTATATACTAAGCAAGGGTTTCAACAGGCTGCCCTCACACAACCGCACAAGGTATAGGGTATTGTTCAACTAGTAGTGTTGTTTTTAAGTTTCATTGTAAAACACATTAAGGACAGAGATCCTACGTGGGGAGCATGTACCCAGTGACCCCCGTTGTTGATCTAACAATTGGCACTCTTATTCATGACGTCAGCAATCACCCGAGGCTCTTGCCATGAGCTGTCTAGGCTATGGAAGCCCCTTGAGTTCACTAACTCTGAACTTGTTTAGTCAAGGCCGTATCACAGTGGAGGTTCCTTCCTCCCTTCGGAGAAAGGCGCCTCCCTCCTTGATGGCCTATTCCTTCTGCTGGGGTCTTGTTCTCTTGTTCACCAGGATCTTTAATTTAGGTTGTTTTTGCCATTGTGTCATGGCTTTCCATGCCTGTGAGACTCCTATGGGCCTTTTAGCCAGATCCGAAGCCCCAAGGGTTGATTCTGAGGCCGGTTCACTGTGGTTTTGATTCGCATTTCCCTGCTGGCTGGTGATCCTCAGCATTTTCTCAAGTGTCTGTTGGCAATTTGTATTTCCTCTTT